ACCCTATCACACACACACACACACACACACACTCACATCACACAAACAACACACACACACACACACACACACACACACACACACACACACACACCACACACACACAACACACACACACACACACACACACATCACACATATATATATATATATATATATATAATATATATTTATATATATAATATATGTATATAATACATATACATATATATATATATAAATATATATTATATATATATATTAGATATATATATATATATATATATATGCATATAAGACAGCATTAATAAGACAGTACTAATATAAATCATGCACAATGTTCCTCACAAATGCGCGCGTAACAACTTACGAATCAGTGGTTTTGTGGTGTTGAGGGGGAGTTTAGTTTGAGAGTGAAGTTATAAAAATACTGCACTCTGATTTCCACACGATAGTCTAGGTGCGCGCACATGCATTTAATTTTAATATAACGTGAAATTTTCCTTTTGAAAAGTCATGAGATCATTCCGAATGCAGGGAGGAGACAAAGTTACATATGACGGCGTTAAAAATCAATACATACACACATTTAAAAGTAGTCATGTATTCATGAACGCGAACCGTTTAGTTGCTCATGCCATTACAATTAGGCTTCTGTATTACCATCTGTCACAGTTGACTTATATCCTGCGATCCAATCGTTGAAGGGTTTGCTCACTTGGAGCTTGGATCAGGATTCAATGATCGTCGGCACGTGCTTCAAATTTGCTGGAAGTCATCCCGAATTTAATAGAATGCCTTGCCTGCAACTAATCTGTGAGCAAAACTAAAGAAGGCTGCTAAAGTTTGCCAATATCACAAGTGCCGGCAATTTGGCCCACATTCAGTAGGCCGCTTGTTATGCCGCCGGCATCTAAGTTTTAACCAGCGGGGCCTTCCCTAGGAAGCCATCACCGTCGAGTGGCGCTTAATCACGGGACCGACATTGGCCGTAATTGTCAGGTCAGCGGGGCAGCGAGGCCAGTTATGCAGGGATCGGTATGGCCATGTGGCGATCTGGCGATGTGGCGACATGGTGCGATGTTGCGATCTGGAAATGTGGCGAGGTGGCGAGTGGCGATGTGGCGACACGTCGCGACGTGGCGATTGTGGCGATGTGGCGATGTGGCGACGTGGCGATGTTGCGATCTGGAAATGTGGCGATGTGGCGACGTGGCGATGTGGCGATGTGACGACGTGGCGATGTGGCGATGTGACGATGTAGCGATGTAGCGAGTGTGGCGATGTGGCGACGTGGCGATGTGGCGATGTGGCGATGTGGCGACGTGTCGATGTGACGATGTGGCGATGTAGCGATGTAGCGATGTGGCGATGCGGCGATGCAGAGATGTGGCGATGTGGCGATGTGGCGAGCTGACCTCTGCCGTCACCCACTCGGCACCATCGCGCACCATCGCTGGGGCGGCCGTCCTCCCGCCCCAACGGCCGGCCCAAGGGTACAAACAGGACGATGGTACCACCCATCTCGATGGGAAACCACCAGCTTTGCATCTGCTTCGCCTGATGTCCTTGACGTGGACACGAAAATCGCGACTTGACCACCCCAGACGGGCTCCTCCCCGATTTGACGGTTGACTGGTCTCGCTCCGCTCCCAGATACTCTCGCGTCTCCATCATCCTCACGACAGCTTACAACCTCCGCTCCCGGAGCGCTAGTCGTTCAGGCGTTCATGGCCTCCGCGGAAAACGGCCCTGAACGCCTCAGCCATCAGGCCGTAAGTGCCGCCTCGGGCATGATATTCTCGTGCGCGCTAAATACCCAGCTACCTCCATTTGCTGAAGAGAGGTTAGACGAGCGTCTGGCTTTCAGTTCATCTATTTTTTTTTAAGGGAACACGGCGCACGCTGCCACGCACCCTTTTGTGGAGCGCCAGCAGTTGCAGTGCCATATCACCGCTCAGGGGCGATGGCGCAACCGGGGTTTGAACCCGCACCCCTACATAAGAGTCGAGGACCCTGACCACTAGACCATTACGCCTACTCCACCCGCAGTTCATTAATGAAGAGACCACAGCTGAAAGCATGAACTTTCCGGATGTCAGCATCGATGCATTAGTGATGATACACGCACGCAACTATACTTATACATAACATGAGACGCTGCTTCCCCTGATCCCTAGTCTTTAAATGAATTGGTAACATGGGCAGGCCGGCTAGCAAGAAGTGTCTTGCTGACAGCCGTTGTGAAATCACCACCACCGAAACAGGTTTCCAGATGGGGCGTGGCCGGATTGCTGATCAGCAAACAAGCCGCCTCAGGTGCTGGCAGCCGTCGACACGTCACGTCCGCGAGCTCCCTCCGCCCCGTCTCGTAATCGTGCGCCCCGCAGACCACCCGGGCTGTCTCGGTGCGCCTCTCGAGCGACAAGCGACATCCCGGACGGCCCCGGACGATCGCGAGCAGTTACCGAAGGGTCCCGAACAGGTCCCAGACGGCCTCGGATCGGCCCCGGACGACCCCGGACGGTCGCGAACAGCTACCGAAGGGTCCCGAACAGGTCTCAGACGGCCTCGGATCGGTTTCGGGCGGCCCCAAACGGCCCCGAACAGCCCGGACGACCTCACGGCCTGGGCGGCACAAACGCTCGGCGTTTTGCTGGGACACATGGACTGAACAGCATGGCGCATGCGGCACTTTCTCCGTCGCCTGACCCACTTCACGACCAGAAGCGCACGTGTAGATGCTTGATGTAGATGCTGGTTGTAGATGCTGGACCAAGCAGGGGCGGACCTGGCTCTGCTGTGCCGGGCTAGGCAGGAGCGGGCATGGCTCTGTTGTACCGGGCTGGGCAGGAGCGGGCATGGCTCTGTTGCACCGGGCTGGGCAGGAGCGGGCATGGCTCTGTTGCACCGGGCTAGGCAGGAGCGGGCATGGCTCTGTTGTACCGGGCTAGGCAGGAGCGGACGTGGCTCTGTTGTGCCGGGCTGGGCAGGAGCGGACATGGCTCTGTTGTACCGGGCTGGGCAGTAGCGGACATGGCTCTGTTGTACCGGGCTGGGCAGGAGCGGACATGGCTCTGTTATACCGGGCTAGGCAGGAGCGGACAGGCTCTGTTGCCGGGCTGGGCAGAGGACATGGCTGTTGTACCGGGCTGGGCAGGAGCGGACATGGCTCTGTTGTACCGGGCTGGGCAGGAGGGCATGGCTCTGTTATACCGGGCTAGGCAGGAGTGGACATGGCTCTGTTGTACCGGGCTGGGCAGGAGCGGGCATGGCTCTGTTGCACCGGGCTGGGCAGGAGGGACATGGCTCTGTTATACCGGGCTAGGAGGAGGGACATGGCTCTGTTGTACCGGGCTGGGCAGGAGCGGGCATGGCTCTGTTGCACCGGGCTGGGCAGGAGCGGACATGGCTCTGTTGTACCGGGCTGGGCAGGAGAGCGGACATGGCTCTGTTGTACCGGGCTGGGCAGGAGCGGGCATGGCTCTGTTGACCGGGCTGGGCAGGAGCGGCATGGCTCTGTTGCACCGGGCTGGGCAGGAGAGGGCATGGCTCTATGTAGCACGCTTACACTGTCCTGCAG